TAAGAACGAAGAAGAAGAACATATAAAGCGGCGTCTCCAACCCCCCCCCCTCAATCCCACTACCTCATAACAATATTTCTGATGAAATTTATAATACTTTATAAAAGGTTTTTTTTCCAACTAAAATCGTTATATATTTATATTTCTAAGCCACCAGCACCCCAGCAGTTCGTTATCAATAAAATTATAATCCTCACTCCCCAACATTTGGTGCGTGACGTTAATCATAGACGAACCTACAAACCTACAAACAACAACAGATGGAGCTGTACACCCTAATTGAGAACCTCTGGTATCTGTTGTACCCCGGCCTTCTAGCACAGTCAGACACAGGATGGGCACCACAGCATCAGCGGTAACAATATCGGTTACTGTGTTAATGTCAAAAGAAACGACTCGCAAGCCAGCCGGGAACTCAACCCTGCTAAATACCTGCCAAACAGGTAAAAAATTTGATTTGCCTGAAAATGCCAAGGGAGGGGGGAGGTTTATTCTCTGATGTAGCAGAAAGGAGTCGGTGAGACCTACGTCATATCCGTTTTTATGCGCCTTTTGTTTCCAAACTACGTTTGATGTGACGTGTCTGTTGGCTTGGAATAGAGGCAAGAGCAGGTTCTATTTTTTTTAAATTGGAACTTCTTTTAATTATTTTAAAACGTTTTTTTAAAGACAATGTGACTGTTATTTATTTGCTAATGAAAATACATTTGATGTTGAACAGAATTGTGTAAAATGCAATAGTTACCTCATTTTAATGAGAAGGCGTTGTTGACGGTCAAATACGTCAGTTTTTTTTTAAACCTACCACCCCCCCCCCCCACCCAATCTTAACAAAATTTAAAGGTGTTCGCATTCGTAAGGCATAAGAAACAAAACATTCTGGTTCACACGGCTCTCGAAATTAGGGCTCCCGACGAAATAGCTTCTGACTAAATAGCTAATAAGCTAACAATAAATTGCTTCAGTCAATAGGGTTTCCAACAAAAAGCCTCCACTAGAAATAGCCCTCGAATTAGATGGATTTAGATATGAATAAACAAATTTGACAAGAGGTGTTGTCTGAACGCCATTTTTTTCTGTCCCAGCATATTTATCAGCTCAATACACCTTTTAGTAAATCCATGCGAGACATGGTATATTTAAAAAGTCAGTTTTTGTAAGCTATATCAACAGAAGAATTAGACAATAAAGATATTTAACGCTGAACATATGATTTAAGTTGACAAACTCATAAGGACTACACTAGGGTTAAAGCTCGATTTTCCTTCAATAGCTAAGCTGGGGTGGCCGCCCCATCTTCCACCCCCTAACGCCGCCTCGGAGAAAAAAAATAAAACTTGCAACTATTTCGTTGGATATGTTGCTGCCAATAACACATCGACCAGGGCGCCTGACTCACAAGTGTTCTGAGAGATGTTTCGGTAATTAGACGTGCCGGGGAAAATGCTAGAGATACATAGTTCGGATACAAGACGTTGTATCATATTGATCCTCTATCTCAGGTAAATGGTAGCTATCGTACCATATTGATCCTGTATCTCAGGTAAATGGTAGCTAACATACCCTGTGTTTGCAGACTCTGCCAACAGGATATGAGTGGATCCTTGGGATGGCCGAGGTCAAGCGTTGGGGCATTTGATATCTATGAAGATCTTTTGATTGGTTGGCACAGTGAGGAGTCAAACAGTAGGTCACGAGGTCAATAAGGATCTTTTGATAAGATGTTTGAGAGAGGAATAATATACTGGGCATATTAAGGATCATTTTACGTCATCACCGCCCTTTGGAGCATTTCCGGTGGGGGGGGGGGGGTAGAGTGTTTCTTACAGACATTTTTCGCAACTTTACTTATATTTCGGGGGGAGGGGGGGGGGGGGCGGAAACTGATTACAATATGTATTTTCTCTATAAATTATTTCCAACACCACCCCCTCTTTCCCCCCCCCCCCCCACCCCACCATCCAAAGTGATGCCTGAAGAAGGTTATGGAGGGGGAGGTAGAATGGTGCTTATTATTTTTTTTTTAATAGCAATATAATAACGTTTAGTCGGACTAGATAAGAACTTAATCAATGGTCGGGAGGGAAATTGTTATCAGGAATAAATATATTTGTTAAATAAAACATAAGCCAAATAAGCCTACAGATTCGTATTTAAGATACTCTGCCAACTTTACCCTAACTGATAAGTCAAAATACTCTTGAAAGCAGATAATCTCGATGTTTGATAACAAAGTTAAAAATAGATGTAAGCAAGGGTAATAACCAGCATCGCCTGAACATTCTGGCTGTTAAAATAAAGGTATCTAAAATTGAAATAGATGATAGTAGAGGCAGACAATTCTGGGTCCGTATCTTTATCATTTGTATTTGGTGTACGGTCTATAGTGTAGCTTTTTATATATATTCGTGGTGGCTTAGCCCGCACCCACCCTCGCATGGTTATTATGTAAATCTCCCCCCCCCCCCCCCTGAAAGTTAGATATACTTATGATAACAGGAAAGTATGTTAATCCTAGAGACCTAAGCAATCTGAAGAGTTTTAAAAATAAATTGTATCTTAATTGTATAATGTGACATAATTAACCTCACTTATTTAGTCCACTAATTAGGTTAATGTAGTATATTTTACAACTAAATACTACAGGCCTAAGTAATGTAGGCCTACTTTAAGGAGGCTTCATAGGCCAATAACTCCAATTAAAATTTTGTATGATATAATCCTGTAGGATAACACAGGAGTTTCTGCTAAACCAGCAGCACATAAATAACTTTAAATGTGTAATTTATTTTTAACCCCATAAGTGAGCGACTGATCTGGCACAAGCACAGCTGCGAAAGGTAGGGAGAAATGTAAACTCCTCTAATCAACACTTGATATTAACTGGCATGTTCTCTTAAAATAGCAGGATGGAGCTTTTCTTAGTACCAGGTGCTGGCTGCTCTAAACAGATAGTTGTTTTATTTTGGGATTATTTTAACAGGCTGGAAGGAATGTCTAAAAATAGCTGCTACAATGAGCAATTTTTACAAAGAGTTTCATAAAACTTCTTATTTTATTTTAAAACTTAATCATATGTATATTGTCATTGTCTGTTTGGTAAAGAACTTTTATAAAATAGATGTTGTCTTTAAAAATACAGTAATTTCGATGCTTAGTTTGATTTGTAAAATAAAATTGTATATCAAATTTTCATACAATGGGGTTAAAATTGTTTAAATCTAATGAAAATATGAAAAATTTATATATTTTTTTAAAAAGTACTTTAAACTTAACCGAACCAATATCGCTTAGATTTTCTGAGAAAGAAAAGCAGTTTTAAAATGTTATGTCCCTTTCAATGGCAATACTACTAGATCTTGAGGGTAAAGTTGGATGTTGTGCAGTTAAGGGGAAAGAACCAAAACAAAACATTGCTAATTATTTATTTTTTTGGCATATAGTAAAGAGGGGAAAAGGCATCTTAAATATGCTCATAACTAAATACTGTTGTTTGTCTAGGAATATAATGGGTAAAAATAAACCGGTAGTGATCTCCCCTAAACTTTCTCGAATATTCTTATATAAAACAACAGGGGATGGTAACTGGGGATATAGTTATGATTTTTAATCCATTTTAAATACTTAAACTTTTAAAAATAGAATAGAATCTCATAAAAAAAACATTGCGCACCAAGCAAACGCCGAATAAAAACGCGTATAATAGTGCGCAATATTATTAGTACTTTAAAAATTTACATTAGTTTTTTGAGAAATCGGAAGTAGCGTAAATTACTACTTCCAGTCAACGGAAATTACTCAAAATTTAACAGAAGGTAGAGAATTAGATCTTTTACTTACATGTGAAATTTCATTTATCTATCTGAAATAGTACTCAAGTTATAGGCTTTTGAAAAATTCAAAGTAGGAAAAGTACCACTTCCGGTTATCGGAAATCGCTCAAAAGTTGATACGGATCTACGATTTTGATAAAATACTTATATATGAAATTTCATCCACCTAGCTGTAACGGTACTCAAGTTATCGTGTTTACACACGGACAGACAGACAGACACACACACACACAGACATACGGACAAGATTGCAAAATTATGTTTTTCCGTATCAGTGAGGTGTAAAACGTCGAGATTTGTAAAAATCTCGATTTTTTTTTTTGCACGATTACAATACTTTCTCTATACTACGTATATACGAGAAAGTAAAAAGCTAATTCATTTTGTAAAGATATTTTGTCAAAAACTTGGCTCAAAATTAAATTACATAATTTTTTGTGTTGAGAAGCAATTACACCACCAACTTAAGTTGTTTTTCTTTTTAATGGCTTAGCCTGAAGGTTGTGTAACGTTAACATATTTGTGTGCTTTGTATTTAATTAGAAAGAAAGAAGTGCAGCTCTTGAGAAAACAATAGAGAGAAGGGTAGGGTGTTTACCTGCTGTACATGGGAGCCTGCCAGTCTAGGTCTAAGATACTGGTGTGTCTTCAGAAAAAAATAGGGAGAAGGGTAGGGACTTGGTGTTTACCAGAGGCGTAGGGACCCTTCCCGGCGCCTGGGGACAAACTTTAATTTGCCCCCCCCCCTCGAACTTTCGATTTGCACCACCCCTCAAACTTTCGATTTGCACCCCCCCCCCCTCGAACTTTTGATTTGTTTCTCCAACCCATTTTGGCGCCCCCTAAGGTCAGCGCCTGGGGACATATGTCCCCCCCCCCCTCTACGCCTCTGGTGTTTAGCTGCTGTACATGGGAGCCTGCAAGTCTAGGTCTAAGATACTGGTGTGTCTTCAGAAAACAATAGGGAGAAGGGTAGGGTGTTTACCTGCTGTACATGGGAGCCTGCCAGTCTAGATCTAAGATACTGGTGTGTCTTCAGAAAACAGTAGAGAGAAGGGTAGGGACTTGGTGTTTACCTGCTGTACATGGGAGCCTGCCAGTCTAGGTCTAAGATACTGGTGTGTCTTCAGAAAACTATAGAGAAAAGGGTAGGGGCTTGGTGTTTACCTGCTCTAACTGGTCTCGCAGGGAGGCTCTGGGGTTGTACATGGGAGCCTGCCAGTCTAGGTCTAGGATGCTGGTGTGTCTTCGGGGCTGGAGTGGCTGATTGCTGTAGAGTGGATCAGCCAGTTCAGTCGTGGCGGAGCTGACAAGTGGCGCTGTTTCTGACTGGAACTTGTCTGCTGGTGATGTTGGTGAGAGCTCATGCCCTGACACAAGAAAAAACAAATTTCAAATTCTTGAAATATTTTACACCAACTCTATTACAGGATAATTATTACAAAGTAGATTCATGAATTAAAATTACTTTATTGCCAGTCAATTGGTTATAAAAGGTTTTAATAATAGTAAGTCTACAAGATTTTAAAAATATAAGTAAAGAACCAATAATATATGCATTGTCCAACAAGAGTTAATAGAAACCTTGTTATATCTATCTATATCTAGATATTTATATCTAAAGATATATATATATATATATATATATATATATATATATATATATATATATATATATATATATATATATATATATATATATATATATATATTTATATTTATATTTATATATATAAATAGCCTATATATATATATATATATATATATATATATATATATATAAGACACAGTTAAGCATATTTAGCATTCTAAGATTCTAAGAATAATTTTAACAAGTACACAAATTAGATAATATTAATAATAGATAAGAAAAACATTGGCAAAGATAACCATGAGTTTGAATGGAGTCAAACCTACCACGCTGCTGATACTGGTTGTCTGGCATGGATCTGCTGTAGTTTTCAGGGCTTCTCAGTGTGGCTGGGCTGTTGTCAAATGAGATGTTCTGTGCTCTTCTGTCACTTGCAGGCATTGGTGCACTTTCGTATGATCTGTTTGATATTATTAGCAATATGGTATCAACATACATTTAATTGTAGAAAGTACACAACTTAAGATCAATAGGGCAGATGATTGTGTGGTCAGTATCCCTTATAAACCCCACTTGAGTCAAGTATCCATTACATATGGAATGTCTAAAAGACATAATGTTTGGGAAACCAGATTCAAGATGTTTGAATTAGTATATTGTCACCTACTACTTGACTATGGTAACTAAAGGTTTTAAACATGATATAATATTTTGAGTAAAATATCAAACATTTAAAAAGTACTTGTGTAACAGAACTCAAAAACATATGTATGGTTTAGTCAACTATGCCAGTATTTAGTACTGTAAGCTAATTAACTTCTATTCTAGCACTATTTTCTCTCATTAATTAATTCACACACAAGCTTCACAATTAGAAATGAATAATTTAAATGGAATGTTTACTTCATGTTATTAGCATTCTCATCCAAAGAAGGTCCCCGTCTAGCTGGGGTTGGGGCAGTCTGGTCACCATTCTGGTCAGGAGCTGCCTTCTTCCTTGATGCAATGCCAAAAGGATCACTTTTTCTGCGTTTTTCCTCTGTCTGAGGGGGCCGTCTGAAAATATTGTATTTGATAGATGTTTTAAACGGGAGACAATGAGGTTTTGTTCAAATCAGTCAAATTTTCATGTTTTTATGTGGGCCTAGTTTCATTAAGATTAAAATGAATCTAGGCCTATTTTTTAAATTATAGAAACTGATATATGAAAAACATTTTTCAAATTTTGTAAGCACAATGTGAAAACATTTATAAACTTTTTATGACTATCCGCTTACAAAGTTAAATATTTAAATATACCGTTTTCTTGGAATTCTTGGCATTCTTTTCTCCTTTTTCTCTGATGGAACTCTCTCGAGCGTGTGAACAGTTTTAGGTTGAAATTTAGGATCTGCTTGAGCGTTGATCAGTGTTTCCCAGTAGTGGTCAGTTTCATCCATTTTTCTATCCAGCTTCTTCAGGTGATTGCCGACAGTCTCAGCCGCACCTTCCTCATCCATGGTCAGCTTTTTCTCGTCTCTTTTATAAATAAAAACAACAGTAATAATCATAAACATTGTAGTGTATCATTCTATTTCATTGATTATTATTGTAATTTATTGATAAGGTGTTAGGGGAGGGTGTGGACCACACCAGGTAACGACATTGGAAGGGGGGGGGGGGGGGGTGACACCAAAATCAAAGTAGCAAACTTTTGTAAGAAAGTCTTTTTCCAGTTTAATACATTGTTGTCAAAGAAGAGGTGGCCCTAAATGTCATGACATAGAGTGTCACCTGACCTACAGACACCACTGATCCAGAGGCGTAGTGAGGGGGGTGCGGACCGCACCGGGTGACACCATTTAGGGGGGTGACACCAAGGCAAAAAATAGCAAAATATATAGAGAAAAATGATAATTCCACTTAATTAAGTGATTAATTCATTAATTTGAGTGTTAAATAGTCTTTTAAGAGGTGCAAATCCAAAGTTTGGGGGGGGGGGGTGCAAATCGAAAGTTTGAGGGGGGGGGGGTTGCAATTCAAAAGTTGAAAGTTTGTCCCCGGGAAGGGTTGCTACGCCTCTGGGGGGTGACGCCATTAAGTGCCGCACCGGGTGACACCCGACCTCGCTACGCCACTGCACTGATGTCAGTAAAATTAAAATTCCCAAGTTAATCTCCACAGCCAACAGTTTCATTTGTTTTCATTGATCTGAAATCTTTAAGCATTTTTCACATTTCTGGCTTATAACAATAGATCTAACTTACCCTTCCACTACAATAATTGGTTTAGCCAGCCGATCAACCAGGGTTTGGCCCATTTGCATAGCATTGTTGTAGTCTTTGTCAATGTGAGATTTAGGAAGGGGCAGATTTCTGACAGCGTCATCAAGACTGTCTTCCCCTGCCAGGGCTCTAGCACAGGCTGTGATAAAATCATCCATTTGTTTCATCAGCTGAGGAAGACAGAGATTGATGTTAGTTTTTCACTTGAATCTGATAGTAAATAAACTAAAAATTAACATTTTCTTGGTTTTGGTGAAAACAAATTAAATTGAATGATAGTAAATAAACTAAAAATTAGAAAAGTAATAACAAAAGCAATAAAAATTATTATTGAAAAGGTATCTATAAAAATCACACCCCGATCTTGAAATTAGGGAATTTTTTTTATTTTATTTTTTTTAAATAAGGTTATCCTATATGTTTCATTCTTTGGATTTAAATCTTAATAGACCTATTATCCGATTTAAAAAAAATTATAACATTTGGTCGCACAACTTAGAAAATTTTTCACTAAAAAATGGAAATTGGTCAAACTTGGTGTATTAGAAGAGAGTGTACTAACTTTGTCAGATTCATTTAAGAACATTACAGAAACTGTGAGGCGATTGGTCCTCTCATACGTTCCCTGAGAAAATCTTTTCCAAGCCTCTTCCAGTCTCCTCGCTTGATCATGATTTGGTTCAATTTCCTGTCTCAGAGATCTGCGCAGGACCAACGCAGCCTGCAGCAGTTGTTTACCATACTCATAAGTACCCTGAAAAGAAAAATAATAACTTTTTTCCTCTACACTTGATAAGAAGTCAAAAAATTATAAAAATATAATTGTAATAAATATAATATTTTTAGTTATTGATAACACCTCAAAAAAAATTGTTTGTGTAAAAAAAATAATTTAAATCAGAAAATAATTTATTCTACTTTCAACATGTGCATTTTGAATTAGTGAACTCCCATTATATCTCATGAAAATTTTTTCAACCAACTAGACACATTTTTTAACAAAAAAAGTAAATAGGATATATATAATACATGAACAGCATTACAGTGCAAATATTATCTATTCAACGCTAAATATTGCATGAGAAACAGATTATATTCTCCTTGCAAGGACTTATCGTCATGACTTACATTGAGCTGACTATACTACCATGTTTAGGAATAAAGGTATACTTTAAATATATACGTAGGCATACTATAGAGCTAAACTACCATGTTTAGGAATACAGGTATAATTCAAATATATATGTAGGCCTACTATAAAGCTAAACTATCATGTTTAGGAATACGGGTTTATTTTAAATATATACATTGGCCTACTATAAAACTAAACTTACCAGAGCTGTTGCCTCAAATTTTTTGTGCTCTTCATGCAAAGCTTCAGCTTCCTCTGCACTCTGTCCCATATCTGTGTGTGTGGTCACCATGACATCACACAGCTCGTTAATCCAATCAATGGCCTGATGAAAAAATTATCAGTTAAATCTACTTTAGTCATAATTATCTACAAGTATAAGGTTATGATCATTTTCTGAACACATATTATTGCACATTTTCATTTGCAAGATGATTGTAAAACCTGTTGGCTAAGTTCATATTTTGATTGTAATGTGTCCTGTGTTCTTCTATACGGAATCCCATGTAATGTATACTGTGTTTACTATACAAAATCCTGTCTAATGTGTACTGTGTTCTTCTATACAAAACTCCATGTAATGTGTACTGTGTTCTTCTTACAGAAACCCATGTAATGTGTACTGTGTTCTTCTATACAAAATCCCTTGTAATGTGTACTGTTCTTTTTTACAAAATCCCATGTAATGTGTACTGTGTTCTTCTATACAAAATCCCATCTAATGTGTACTGTTCTTCTATACAGAATCCCATCTAATAAGTACTGTGTTCTTCTATACAAAATCTGTACTGTGATATCTTAATCAACCACATCCTCATTACTATGCCCATGCGACAGTTTGTGTACACTGGTAGTACCTGGTCAGTGTCCCTCTCACAAGTCCTCAGCTGCAGAAACTGCTGCAGCTTTAACTTCCTGACGTCTGCCAACTCATCACACCTCATCTTTCTCTCCTGAAGCTCCTCCAACCTTTTGTTGATGTACTTGATCTTGCTGGCGTAGTCTGGGGTGATATCTTTACCAAAGGCATTTTTGATTGGCCTTGACATTTCATCCAGTAGACTTTGACCTTCATTCAAACTTTCCTCTGCTACTTTATCTGTAAAATTGACATAGGTTTTTTTATTTAACTAAACGACAGTCAATACACTATGAAAATTAACGTAAGTTTTTTGTTTTACTAAACCACAGTCAATACACTATGTAACTGTTTATTTTACATTAATGATATAGTTGGGATATTTAGATTTTAAAAAATAATAAGTGAAATCTTGAAATATTATTTAGTAAATATTCTAGTAAATTTATTTTTATGTAGTTTTTGTTGAGGTTATAAGAATATATGTGGAAAATAGTCTCATAATGACATTGAACCAAAGTTTTAAAATGATTAAAATTAAATTAATTAACGTCGTTTTAAAAAGTTTGACCAACCACAAGTGTCACACTTGTCCTGGAGGACTTTCATGGCCTCCTCCACCATCTCCACTGTATCCGCCCTGATGTCACTACAGAGGAGTTCCAGCAGCTCGTCAAGGCATTTGGAGAACTGGGGGACGGACAACAACAACAGATGCAGCAATAGGTTGTACGCTAGTTGGCTAAACTATAACACAATTGAATCAGGGATCTACTTCTTCAAAATACAGAAACATTGCTAGCAAACAGATCCTTGTGCGCACACTATTAAGAAACAGATCCTTATACACACACTGCTAAAAGAATATTACACACATACTGTTAACAAACAGATCCTTACACACTGCTAACAAAGAGAACCTTAGACACACAATGCAAATAAACAGATCCTTATGCATACACACTGTTCACAAACAGACCCTTACACACACTTTGTTAACAAACAGATCCTCACATGCATTTTGTTAACAAACAGATCCTTACACACATATTGTTCAAACAGATCCTTACACACACAAACACACACACACACACACTGCTAACAAACAAACCCTTACATCTTCAGCAAATCTATGAAACCTGACTGAGGTTATCAACAGAGTCCTCCTTCTGTCCAGCCTTGAGGCAAAACTTCTGCACACTGTATCCATGTAGTCCCTCTCAGCCTTGAGGTCGTCCTCTGCTGATATCCCTTCCTCCAGTATTTCCTCCGCTGTGTGTCGTAATTCAGCATACTGACCATACGTATCCTATCAATAAGGATACATACCACTATATATTTGGTATCCTATTGTATTGACTAGCATGACATGATATTTTATTTTCAACCCTTATAAAAGTTGTAATCAGAAATATGATTCAGATCAGAATTAGTTTTGTTAGACTTGGGATTAGGAATAAATTAGTAGAATAAAGAAAACAACTTTTTTATCACCTGCAACAAAGACTTTTTCTGAACCAACAAACAATATAAATTAAATGAAAATTAAATTTATTTAAAAATACCAACCAAAATTACAAAACTATTTTGATTCTTATCATTTAAAGTTTTAAGTATACGCACAAAAATATGAAATCATTTAAAATAAAATATGTAAAAATATTAAATGTGTATTATTAAGAGTGCTTACAGTACACTTGATCTCCATCTCTTCATGTCTTTTCCTCAGTTCCTCGGCAGCTTGGTAGGAGTCTCCAATGTCACTCTGTGATGCCAGCAGTTTTTCCCCTGGGCCTAGCACCCAGTTCACCACCTGGTTTTAATGGAAATTGTTTTAATCTTTTGTTTAATTTTGGAGTTGTCTCTCCTTGGAGAGTTGCTGTTTCCAGCTATCATCTCATCTGCCTGGGGGTTCAAACTTCAGACCTTACTGTTTAGCAGAGTTTCTTCCAGCATCTCTTCTGGGGTGGCAGAGCCCCCTCCCCCCCCACCCCCAAGCAAAGTCTACCCCCCCCCCCCGAACGAGATGGAATTTATATAGTAAACATATACTTTTACTAGTGTCCGCCCCCAGGAAAATGTTGACCCCCCCCCCCCCAAAATACCAATTCCCCCTCGGAGAAAATAGTCTGGAAGAAACATTGCTGTTTAGCAACCATGAGCTTTAACAACCAGGCCAGGCCAACTCCCAATTTAAATAATAACAGAAAAAATCTGCTTCATTTGTGTAAGAGGGTATTTTAATTTGTGTTATCATGCAACAGAGAATTTAGCCCTTATTTTGCTATCCACAGAATAATGCATGCTTAATTAATGCTAAAATATTTTTTTTTTTAAATTAGCTTTTCAAGGTAGAGCATTGTAAAAATTTTATTAGAGATTAGCATACTGTTTTTGTGTTGCGTTTCCATTCTTCATATTGAATATTGGAGTTGAGAGATTTGTCTCTGTCTTCTAGAAAGTCTTGGAGCTTGTCCACTCTACTGGTCAGATACTGTAATATCCTCTTCACCTGTTTGGGTTCAATAATTTCAAATTTAATTCAATGTAACAAATTGATCTTTACAATTCTTTTTAGATGATTAATTACAGGTCGTGTTTTTTTCATAGTAATGAAAACTATGAGAATTTAAAAGAAAAATTCTACTCAATAACAAAAAATGTTTACAGAATGTTATATGAAGAAATAATATATCATTTGAATAAAAATTGCGTTCAAAGGGAGATAATAACTTAAATAGCTTACATTATTATTTTGTCTTACAATCATGGATTTATAAAAAAAAAATGATAAAATTTGTTTAAAAATGTATATTTAATTTGATTTATAATTTTTACTGACCTGTTTTTGAGCTTCTAGATTATCTAGTGTTGGCACAAGGCCTTGACTGTCCATGTATCCACTAAATCCATTTTGTTGCAAGGACTCCAGGAGGTCTTGACCTAAGTAGTATGTAATATTCAGACTACAATCAAGTCATTTGACTAATCTTTTTACATTGAGGGGATAAAAATAAAAACTTGGAATATTCCTTATGTTAAATGCCTATTATTGATTTTTTTCATATGTATCATACAATATTTAACTTTTGTCATCTATCTTATATATACAAGAAGGGGAACTAACCCTGTCTTATGACCTCAGTTGGAACTGTCTTGATAGCATCTTTGAACTGTCTGTGTTTTCTTAAGGCCTCCAGCGGACTTGAAGGAGGCTCCCCCTTGCCAGTTGACCCATAAGACTGTTGTATTTCAGACTCCTGGCTGTCCAGGTGATCCACTGTGGTCTGGGCGTCCTTCATGAATTGTTCATAACCCTGTAACCATAAGGACTATTGTAAATCACTGCATTTAAGGCACAAATTTATTCTATTAAAAATAATCTGTTAGTAAAATTTAAAATATGAGCTGTATTAACACAAATGGTATAGGAATATATCAATGAGATTTGGTGTGGAACAAAGTTTAGATAATGTATAGTGGTATGCAGCAGACTTAGGTAATGTCATGTTTTATTGTACATACAATCTAATATCAATATCTAATATTAGTATCATCTAATATGCAGTGGCGTAGCGAGGTCGGGTGTCACCCGGTGCGGCACTTAATGGTGTCACCCCCACAGAGGCGTTGCGACCCTCAAGTCTTCTATTTGCACCCCCCCCCTCAAAGTTTCGATTTGCACCCCCCCCCCTCAAGTTTCTTGATTTGCACCCCCCTCAAACTTTCGATTTTGCACCCCCCCCCTCAAGTTTTTCTCTATATACTTTGCTATTTTTTGCCTTGGTGTCACCCCCCCTAAATGGTGTCACTCGGTGCGGTCCGCACCCCCCCCCCTTCGCTACGCCCCTGCTAATATGTAACTTCATGTTTTATTACACACACACACACTCATATATATATATATATATATATATATATATATATATATATATATATATATGTATGTATGTATATATATATATATTCCATAATGATTTCATGAATGCAACATTGTGGTCATGTGTGTGTGTGAACCACATACCAGCTGTGTTCTGAGCCAGACGTCATGATTATATTCCATTTGACCTCCCAAATCAAAGGTGAGCTGTTTTGGGTCGATGTATCTATGCAGAACATTCAAGGTCACAAATCGAGGCTGAAAATTTAAAAAAAAAAATTGTTATAGTATTCAACACATTTTAAAATTGGTGATGACATTTAAAAATTATGGCAAAAGCAAAAAAGTTCGTTGATGGAAGCATAGGAAGTAATGGTTTTAATTTTTAAAAATGTTCTTGTATTATACCTCCTGGGCTGCTGTTTTGTCTTGGTTGGCTCTTTTGTCGTTTTCATGAACCACAACCAAAACCTGTTTCAAGAAACCATTGATGGTTTGCTGTGAAAGAAATGAGTAATTTCTCAGTTAGATCTCTCACAATTATATTGTTAATATCATTTTAATATATTAGATGGAAAAACCCTGAACTAAATATATATATATGTAACACAACATTGATGTTTGATTAATACATTAATAATTTAATAAGGGAAAGGGGCGTTAAAAAGTTGTACTCTTAATCCTGAGTTGCCTACCCTACAAATATTTTATTGTATTCAACTACAAGATGGGCGATTTTAGCCCATATGGAGCTATACATAAATGAAAATCGTCAGCTGACTAAGAAAATTGTGTATGGTAGGACAGGAAATGGGTCAGGTTACCTGCAAGCAGGACTGCATCATGTTCAGATTGGCCCAGGAGCCGTCTCTTGTGTCCACAATTACGGTAAAACCTTTCTTCTTTGTCTCTTCACTGGAATACAAATTTGACCATCAGCAAATGTAAAGAAAAATTTGCCTCCATTTTACATTAGAAATAAAGATAATCCATTCCTTGTCTAAATTAAAAGAAAGCAGTGACGTAACAAATATGTAACCAAAGTCCACGGACCCCTGAGGTCGCAGGGCCCCCTATGTTCCAGGGCCCCCTATGTTCCAGAGCCCCCGAGCTATTGAAGTAAATTAAATGAGCCCTTGAAAAATAGATTCTCCTTGGAAATTACTTATTTTAAATTACTAGCGTTGCAAAGAGAATGTGCGATTTGTCCGAAATCATATTGATATTGTAAAATTAGTCTTGTACAAGGTAACAAGCAGCTGCTTGTGCAATTACTATAGTAGTTTCAAACCTACAACTAATTATAAGTTGAAATGATTTGGGCTATTTAATGAAAGTTGTGTCATTAAAAAATCAAAATAGAGAGGGTTTGGAGTTATAATTCACATAAGCGACGAATACTAAAGTTTGCTATTATTTCAATTTAGTTTCTATTAAGTCGCATCATTGTTTAAATGTATTGCATATATTCTAAAAATAAATTTATTTTAATAAAAATTAAATACATGTTGCAAAATAAATAGCGGACAGCTAATTAATATAATTTATTAAAAGTATATTGTTTAGGAAAATAAAATTGGAAAAACATAATAAAATATTATACAAAACAGCATTAAAGAGGGTCGATTATTTCCCCTAATGTGACATTTGCCGCTCCAACAACCGCAGAAATCTGCATATACTTCGGGCTAAGGCCGGAGTCAATTATTGTCCATGTTCGTCATGGTGTGGGTAAAAACAAAAACCTAGTTGGTGGTTTAACTTACACGAAATAGTATCCAAGTTATTTGACACACACACCTTATGCATTTTAAATGTTTGTAAAATAAAATATATTTGTAAATAAAATATTTCATGAATTGGTTTACAAATTGCCAGTCATCACAACACAATACAAGACTGTAATTAACGTAGGTGGGTAACTTTAAATTAGATAAAAATCAGATTTACAGGTAACTAAAGTCATCACAATACAAGACTGTAATTAACGTAGGTGGGTAACTTTAAATTAGATAAAAATCAGATTTACAGGTAACTAAAGTCATCACAATACAAGACTGTAATTAACGTAGGTGGGTATCTTTAAATTAGATAAAAATCAGATTTACAGGTAACTAAAGTCATCACAATACAAGACTGTAATTAACGTAGGTGGGTATCTTTAAATTAGATAAAAATCAGATTTACAAGTACTGTGAGACAATGGAAAGTACTTGGGTATTCGGGTGAGGTATCTCAAATCTTTACATTTGATGAAACGAGATTTACGAATATCGCCACGAGACAATGAAAGGTACTTGGGTATCTGGATAAGGTATCTCAAATCTTTACATTTAATGAAATGAGATTTACAAATAGCACCATGAGACGTGGGTATCTGGATAATGTATCTCATTAATCTCAAATCTTTAAATTTGATGAAACGAGATTTACAGATATCAAAAGTCACCATAAAACAATGTCCAATACGTACGTGGGTATCTGTATGAGGTATCTCAAGCAGAGGATAAGTTCGTCTGGGCTGGGGTCGTTCCTGTTGTGCATAGAGGGGAGGGTGACCACTGGTCCACCTTGGGTATCCCGTCCACCTGGTTGGAGAATAAAAAACTAAAATGACAAAATGCTAAATGTATTGTGTAGTTGTTTGTAAAACAGAATATGAATCATATAACGCCACAACATGTGGGGTGTGGCAACAGTGGCTGGTGTGGTGTGACAGTCTGTGACAAGGGTGTGTGTGGTGTGATGTAACACTATGTGACAAGGACGTTTCTGGTGTGATGTAGTGTGACATATTGTGACATGGACGTTTTTGGTGTGGTGACACTATGTGACAAATAGGTTGACTGGCATTGTATGGCAATTAATTGAACACTTAATTCCAAGTAGCTTTTCCCTTTGAGTGTTGAGTTAAACACGCCTAATGCTTATGTATATCTTCACAGTGCACTAGTCTAGTGGTAAACCAGTGGCGTAGCGAGGTCGGGTGTCACCCGGTGCGGCACTCAATGGTGTCACCCCCCCCCCCCCAGAGGCGTTGCGACCCTTACCAGGGACAAACTTTTAAGTTTTCGATTTGCACCCACCCCTCAAACTTTCGATTTGCACCCCCCCCCCTCAAGTTTTCAATTTTCACCCCCCCCCCCCCCCCCCTCAAACTTTCGATTTGCACCCCCCCCCCCCCCCGTCAAGTTTTTCTCTCTATATTTTGCCATTTTTTGCCTTGGTGTCACCCCCCTAAATGGTGTCACCCGGTGCGGTCCGCACCCCCCGCCCCCCCCCTCGCTACGCCCCTGTGGTAAACTGTTTTCTTTTTCTTCTTCTTCGTTCTTAATTATTAGTGTTGAAGGTGATCGAGATTTATCTGCCACTGGGTTTGAACTTTGTTCGAATTTATCAACCATGAACTTTTTGCCGACTCGACCACGCCTCCAACACAATTAAGCGTTACGTGTCAACTGGTTATGCGCCATTGAGGCCATTGACTCCGATTTCAGCCTGCTTTTCTTTTTGGATTTGCTTCCATAGCCTTTGTCCAACCAAGAACAAACTACAAGGCAGCAGTTGTTTAATTTTGGAGTTGTCTCTCCTAGAAGAGTGGCTGTCCCCAGCTAACGAGCCTCATCTGCCCGAGGGTTCGAACTCGTGACTTTTCGGTTTAGCAACCATGAGCTTTACCGACTCGACCACGCCGACCCCTTAAACTGTTTTAAAACCACGAGATAAAGATACAAAGAGACAGAACTTTAAAGCAAAGACGAATAACTGTAATAAAAACTGTCTCCCATTAATTAATTATTTCCTGTCACCTACGTCCTAATTAATCGCGACACAGAAATTTATGGTCTGAGTGAAGTGAGGGTCTGCCCATTTGATTATCGTTTTTTTTTTATTCCTTAATTCTTAAAATTTTATACAGGCAAGTAGTTTGACCTTCTGTGGTTCCTAAAAGCCTTGCCTAGACACTGGGTATTTAGGCGGTGTTTATAATTTGTCTCGACCTTAGGGGTCATCTATTTATGGCGTCCACAAAAATATTGAAATTTTTACACCTCCCCCCCCCCCCCCACCCCAAATCTCCTCTCTGTGTGGACGTCAAATATAAAAGACCTCATAGCTCATAGTATAGCAGTCTTTTCACCCTCGATTTCCATTACACTTTGAAACATCTTTAGGCTAGAAATTTTATTCCATTTTCCATAATAGCTGGTGTGTATTATTATTATTTTTTAAATTACCCATTGCACAAATGTACACGTAACCACCCATTTCACAACAGTAGCCTACTTCGTGGACTGTTCTAAAAGTGTTTTTATTCCGTGCTTTTGTTTCTTACCAAGGCCGCATGAGGGCATGGATAAGAAAGAGCCCTTTGTGTAGTAGATCTATAGGACACGTTACGCATGTAGAACAATAGACCTGTCGAGTGTTGGAGAGATGGACTAGTACTAGACCAATAGAACTCCTTCTTACTCAAGTGTTCAGTCGGGTATGTTAGCCATAACGGACTAGTTGTTTGAATGGTTAAGGTCTGAAGTGGTTGTCCGGTTTATTTACTAAGGTGGACGGGCGATGGAACAATATATTATTGCTAGGACGATGTTGCTGAAGTAGCCAGTGGTTTGTTTGTTGTGGGTTTCAGATTTTGATGTTATTTTATGACAGTGATATAAATGGCGTGACTTGTTATTTTATGGGTTAACGTGTGTGGGTTCGAGAGTGTGGTGACTAGTGTGCTTTGAAAAGTGTGTGGTGGTTAGGTTGCCCGATTGGGGGCGTGTGTGTGGGGTGCTTAGGTGTGGGGGTTGTACGTTTAGTAATCTGTGGTATGTGGGTTACACTGTGCGTTGTGACAAGGGTGGGTTACAGCGTGTGAGTTAAAGAGGTTGGCCTGTGTGTGGTGTGTGGGTTGGTGCTGATGCGTGTTGGGTCCAAATGAGAGGTGAGGTGTATGGGTTGTGGTGAGGATTGTGGATGTGCGAGTGTGTGTGTGTGTGTGTGTGGTTACCTGAGTGAGTTTAAGTGTGTCTTGTTAACAAAGAAATGAAACAAATAGAAAACATAAATAAAACAGTTTTCAATTTAACTATACTAGTCGTTAGAATCATTTTAAAAAATAAAGAGAACAAATCAAAATAATTGCGAATAAAACGATTACAAAATAAAACAATCAAAATTTCATTCTCATTACTTTTATTTAAGAAAGTAAAGTATAATAATAAACATATTTTTAATGAGGAAAAGTTTAGTTTACTTTTAGTATACAAATTTAATTAGGCAGATTTTAAGGCACTTCTATTGTGGCTACTGGAATAATATTCCTTGACATTATTAGTTTGATCCCCAGGCTCTATAGATCCCCGAGGGTGATCAACAGCTGTACCTACATTGTGGAGTGGTGGGGCGTTATTTGAATGCCCCCCCCCTCCACATACCCTCAAGCAAGCCCTGTGACTTTGTAATGCCGTCACGTTTCTCCAGCCCTATTGTTCATGTGGGTTCACAAGTAACGTGTGCGATTTGTGAAAATAGTTCCGGTCTACAACAGGGAGGTAACTCTATTTAATCCTCATCTACATAGTTGTGCTTACAGCGCCTAACGAAACCTAATCAATGAGCACAGCGATATTGTGTGTACGAACTTCAAACAGAATGTCCCCACCCTACACCCCACCCCCGAAGGCCCTACCGATTCGGCCATCCACCTGTTTAAAAACGTTACGTGCTAGTTAGCTACTTCCGTTCTTTTACGTCACGTGTATTTCTTCTCACCATTATCAGGGACGGGTCACCATTATTCTTGCTAATATTTTCAGGTTGCTGATTTTTTTTTCTTCTAAAAATAAACTGAGTGCTAGTCGAGAATATCTATTAGATCTAGTATTAGCCACCTAAGTGGCATAGGTAAGAGTCAGTGTTTCCTCTAGACTTTTTTCTCCGGGGGGGGGGGGCACTTGCAATTTTCGGGGGGGGGGGAGCGGTAGACTTTTTTTCGGGGGGGGGGGGGGGCGGACACTATTAAAAGTATATATTTTCTATATAAATTTCATTTCGTTCGGGGGGAGGGGGGGGGGGGCGGTAGACTTTCTTCGGCCCCCCCCCCCCCCCTCCCCCCGAAGAGATGCCTGGAAGAAACTCTGGTAAGAGTTTGTTATGAGAGCGGGGCATAACGTAAAATGGAAATTTTTATGATCTTTAATGTTTGGCTATTGAAATAGGAAGCGGTAAATTAACGCGAGATATCTTTCATTTTTGGAGTCTATGGAGAGGGTTTTAAGCTTGTAGTTTAATTCAAGTATTTTTATCCCCGTCTTTCGGAAAAATCATTATCGCATTCAAGTTTCTAATGCGCAAAAAAACGTCTCGCATTATGACGCAAAAAACAAACAAACATTGATGGATGAATGCCCATTTAGGCCTGACTTAAAATCTCACTCCATGAAATAGGAAACATTACGACCTATGACCTACCATTAGTCACGATGTTTCGATTAACCTACATTCATTACATGCGAATCAAAACCGATAAATTACCTGTGTAAGTAATTTACTTCATTAATCACGACATTACAATCAGCGAAATGTAAATTAGTACAACACCGACCCAATCATGCATGAAGCGATACGATCGTAAATAAGTTTTTCTCAATTAAGCTGTTTGACTTCGAAATTATTGATTTACTTGTTTAAAAAATTACTTTGTTTCATTTTCCATGTCATATTTCTTTGAAAATAGTTTTCAATTGGGCCATGATGAAAAATAAAATGCAAAGGCCATGTTGAATTTGGGCCAGGATAGAATAGGGCCATGGCGAATGTGTATCATTGATGAATAAAAAATGCTTTGCGTGGCAACACAGGACTATCACTGAGCAATGGCCGCAACAAACTAGGACCACAACAAACCAGGGCCAACACAAACCAGGGCCTACAACAAACCAGGGGCCACAACAAACCAGGGCCACAACAAACCAGGGCCACAACAAACCAGGGCCACAACAAACCAGGGCCCCAACTAACCAGGGCCACAACAAACCAGGGCCACAACCAAACAAGGCCACCAAACCAGGGCCATGACAAACCAGGGCCACAACCAACAAGGCCACAAAACCAGGGTCACAACAAACCCAGGGCCACAACTAATCAGGGCCACTACAAACCATGGCCACAACCAAACAAGGCCACCAAACCAGGGCCATGACAATCCACCAAGACATGACAAACACATGTAGCAGTCTGGCCATCGTTTCTTCTGCTGTATAAAAAAAGACCATCTTAAACACAGCAATTGTTTGTCTCCCCTGGCCCTGTAACTCTCCCGATAAAAATCAGTGAACACACCTGGACAAAAAATATCGCCCTCTACAGAAAGTCGTCTGCCGCCTCAAACCAACAAGATATCTCCCAAGACAGCGACAGGGTTAAAATTTAAATATTTAATGTGTGCAAGACGTAAGTAACGGCAAACATTAATCGGGACCGTTACATACTTGGGGGGGGGGGGGGGGGGGGGACTTCCGGCTGACGATTCTCTCGTCTGACAAAGTGCCCTCACACTTCCGGTTTGTAATAGCAATTTTAATTTCAAATTTTTAAAATATTAAAATGTGTGGTTGTTTTTTTTTTCATTTTTTTTGTATCAAGAAAAACAGCACCTAAATCTATATCATTATGTAAAAAAAAAAGTAAAATTACCTGTCAATAATACATATCCATATTGTAGAATGTTTGCTAGCTCCATTCCGTTCAAACGCCGGCCTGAAATGAAAAAAAAATTGTTTACATTGTTAATAAAATAAATTGTAAGATCTTTAGGTTAATTCAATTATTGTACACTGTCATCCATAAATGACGCTACGCTTTTTTGACGATCCCCCTTTCCGCCCCCCCCCCCCCCCCCCAATCCTATTAAGTAAGCATCTTGGTTTCTAAATAAGCCTCAAGCTCATTATAATTATTTGAGCTTAATCAATCAAAATGCTTTGAATTTAAGACCATGCTTAGTGGAGAAAGTTCGCAATTTCTCTAGGATATTATCATAACAGATGCAACAATTGGTGAGCTATAGTAATTTGGACAACAAAATTTAATATTTAGGCCCTACTTAAGTTCAATACAATTTAAAATATGCTCGTATCTTTATGCTTCCCGTTCAACTTTTTGTATCGCTCCGTTTTATTGACTTCCCTGAAACAAGATGACCTGTGACGAACTTTGGGGACCGAGGTAAAAGAAGGGCCGTAAAAAACTGGGCCAAATCAACAATTGTGGGGAGGAAAACACGGACGTCTGAACAAACATGTACACCGTATCTCAACTGTTACTGCGTGCCGCTATACACCGCTGTAACACAAAAGACTTTAATGGTTTTCTTTAAGCCAGTCTAGAATTTACCAATTAGATGTATTAGACTTTAATAATAAAAGAGAAAAAAAACAATCCACTTTTTTTAAATAAATAATTTTGATTTGATTAAGAAGAGAAACTAAAATTTAATAGAAAATAGTTTTAAAGTAGTTATAATTATAATATAGCCGTGTAAAAAAAGACTGTAGTGTATGTTTGTAATAGTCCCTACTTGTAATTAGTTAAATTAAGTAGGCTACCCATTAAGACACGAAAACTTAAAAATTATATTCTACAGCTGCCTGCTGATGTTGTGGTTCTACCTGTGAATCTGACCGATCCCCAATTGTGTGATCCAGACTATTCTCAGTTGACTTCCATTGGACGTGACAGGTACTAATTAGAGCCGAGTTAACTCAACGATGTCCTCGGGAACACGAGCCCGTCGTGGTCGTTTAAAAAAAAATGTATCTGTTGCTTAACTACTGTCCTTATATGCTACATTTATAGTCCTTAAATGTGTCATCTAATCCTAGATGGATCCGAACCCTTGGCATACGCAATGTGGTACAGGACGTCTACTTCTGGTGGAGGAAGGACCCGAACCCGTCACATAAACAAAGCGGTACACCGCGTCAACTTCCGGTGGGAATTAAACCGCCCCGGGGGTAGGGGGAACGGTGTCAGAGATCACACATTTTAATTTACGAGTCAAGTCTCTGTCAAGTTTATATTGACATAACGTCTCGAGATACGGGGACATAACTCGTGTACTAATTGGGCCAAAGTTTCCTGCCCTCAACGCAAAGTTCTAGCCCAAATAGATATAGGCTGCAAACGGCTAAAAAATAAACACGACATTGACCCAATTGTATGGCCTACAAAAGATTAAATGGATTAAGAAATAATATTGTAAATATGTTAATTATTCAACGTATTCGGCTATTTTTTTTTGTGTAAATTTCCTTCTTCTTCTTCTTCTTCGTTCTTAATTCTAGTGTTGGAAGAGGTTCCTTCCAACATACTTAAGTATTGCGTGTCCATTTGTTATGCGCCCATACAGGCCTTTGACTCTGATTTCAGTCTGCCTTTCTATTTGAATTTGCTTCCATAGCCTTTGTCCAACAAAGAACAAGCTATAAGGCAGCAGTTGTTTGATTTTGGAGTTGTCTCTCGTAGAACAGTGGCTTCAAAGCGTCACATCTGGGAAGGTCTGGTTGTTCAACACACTTAGCCATCGACCGCAAAAATAAATAACTACATAAATGTTTAGCATCATTATATAACGCGCTTTTAAACTTAGTTATCATGCAAACTTGTCGTCCAAGTTGTGACCTTCTATAAATTAATTGTGGTAATGAGGATGAAATATATAAACAGAAGATCTATCTAAATTATAAATAACATAGATATGTTTGGTCTTTGATGAAGTCCTATTATAATTCTATTCTCAATACACACTAAATAAAGAGATCAATGACTTTGCTGTATCTGCCTTAAGCTTAATGGTTAAGTGTGTACGATGCTGAAAGTCTAGATACCAGTTTTACCGGAAAGTTTGGCCCAAACGTTTGTAAAAAATGACCTTTTATTATAAGATGATTGAGAACTTTGGCAAATTTCGCTACTCGTTTGATATCTGACCATTTTTTTAAAAAATCG